TACTGTTCAGCCTGCTTTCATCTGTATTTTTAGTGGGGTTCACCAAATATTTAATACTAGTAGAAATTTCCAGATCTATTTATTTTACATGAAATACCTAGTTGATATGAAATGCTACCTTTTTTTTTTTTAAATGTATGTTTCAGGATGAGATACTTCAGAGAAAAAGCAGTTTATGATAGAGTTCAAAGTATAACACTGCTTTTCTTTCTCTATTCAGTGAGCCAATAGCTGTCAAATAAAATTAATAAATCAAGTTTAGGATTTTAAGAACACCTACAGTCTTTTAAGCCTCTATTTTCAAAGCTAATAATAATTTATTATTTAAAACGAAAACTCAAAATAAATTCCTCCTTTATATTTTATTGCAGAGTAAAGGGATTCAGTAGAGAACAGAGCACATAAAACTGTGAAAGTAGAACTTTCTAGAAAGTTACTTTGTCTCACTCTAGTTTAGTATAGTACTATGCTAGAAAATGAAATTCCATAAGAGAGTTTCCTATTTTCAGTGGTCACTAGAGCAAGGCTCCACATTTTTTTCTCAAAAATTAGTGGTAGTAGGTCCAGCAGATGGTATAGTGGTAATGTCGCTGGACTACCATGTGGTGGACTGTGGTTTGAGTCCCAGACCGGGTGACTTGAAAATCATACCAGGCACATGTGCATGCTTGCCGAGGATCCCTGGAGGAGAATGGAAGAGAAGGGAGTGCGGTGTGGCTATCCCCCCGGGGGGTGATTTCTCACATTCCCTCTTTGTCTTTGTCTCTCTCCGGAGAGGTCATGTGCCCTGAGGCAAAAATCTCTAAAAAAACATATTAGTGGTAGCATTTTGAGATTTTTATAAGAGTGAAGAAAGCATAATTGATTCCCTTTGCTATTCCAGAATTAAGCAGGTAGATTGGAACCTTTTATTAGTGTACTTAATACACACATTCACGTACGCATGTGAGGTGCCCACTGTTATAAAACGTCTTTGGTAATTTCACATTGTAGAATTGCAGAAGTAAAGGTAACCTTTGAGATTTCCACTCCAAACCCTTCATTTTTAGGATGGGAACAGAGTCACAGAGTCATTAAGGTTAATACTATATTTGGAGCTAGACCCCAGGTACCTTAAATTCCTGTTTACAGTCTATTTCACTGCTTCGTATCTTAAAAAAAACCTTTCATCTTTATTTTCGAATGAGCACATGCACACACACACTATATAAATATATACACATACACACACATATATACATATATGTGTATATATGTATGTATATATTATATATATGTATATATATATATAATATAATAAGTAATATGTAAAGAGAGAGAGAAAAAGAGAAAGGGATGAGCACCCTCCGCAGGGTCTGGTCACACCACAGCATCCTTCCTCAGTTTTCCAGCCTGTCAGACCTAGGCCCAGTGTGTCTTAGGCTTCCAACCAGTGAGACTTGAAAGGCGGTCACCATGAGGGCTCCAGCTTCCTCGGGCTGTGTATCACTGCTGAGCCACAGAGCCAGTCCCAAGCCATGCTGTCTTGACATAGCATGTATGGTCTATGGATATTTTTGCTTTTTAAATATATAGATAAAATGAAAATGTATCTTAAGAGAGGACATTTAGATTATTAGAAAACTTGTCCTTCCCCCTCAGTCTCCCCCCTCACCTCCACACACACACACAGATAAATGTGTGAACTGAAGGAAATGTTATCTTGCGTAGGTACCGTTACAGTAAGCAAATAGGCATCCAACCCCCACCGTCTTCTGGGGTCAGTGCTCCCTTTTGGTCCTCTTAACAAACAATGCATTGTGCATCAACCTCAGGTGCTACCAAAATTGTTCCCGTGGAGGCTGGGCCCCCCGAAACAGGAACTGCAAATCCGGAGACCTCCACAGCAGACCTGGCACCTCGCAGAGGGTACCAGGAATACGCCATTCAGCAGACACCGTACGAGCAACCAATGAAGTCGAGCAGGTAAAGTGTTCTGGTCTGTGTGACAGCAGCCAGAGGCCAAACGTGAATGACCTCCATAGGGTGCAAGAAGGATCAGCATGTTCGTTGATATGGATTCTACTCACAAACTTATTTGTAAAGGATACTGACGTCTTGACTTTTTAAAAAGAATTATTTATTTATTTAATTCTGTTTGTTGTTATTATTTATAAATTTGATCAGAGAGATAGAGAAAGGGAAAGTGAGGAAGCAAGCCGCCAGGACCGGGACTCGAACCATAGTCAGCCATGTGGGAATCTAGCGCTTTTAAATCACCATACCACCTGCCAGCCCCGACTTTTTGATTTAATGGAAGAATTAATGCCTCTATTTTGGCTCTTAGTATGTTGACTGAGCCCAAAATGCGTGACAGATCACAATTCTTTTGGAACTGAGCACCCGCTGGTTCAATGAAGGTGGAACCTTTTACTTAAAGCAAACATACATTTAATCTTAGTAAGCATGGCATTAATACATTTTCTGATTTTTGTGGCCACACATATTATAATGAAAAACTCTTTATTTCCCTTTGCTTTCAAAAGTGACACAAGCATGTTGTGGAAAGCTCCGACATCCTGTATGGTGTAGAGTTAACATAGCCCAGGGTTGCCTTTTGTGGTGGCTGCTGTTATTGGTTAGGGTTATTTGACTGTTGATGTCTTAATGCCATGGTAGCATATATGGCTTTAATTTTGTTATTTTTTCTTAACATGAAGTACCAAACGTGCTGTCCTTAACTTTCTTATAAATTATACCTGAGAAAATCTTTCATTTTTTAAAAAATGTGTTTCCCATAACTATATGGATGTACTGTAATTGTTATAGATGGTTTTTGCTGTCATAGGTATTGTGGCAGTCAGAGTTTTGGCAGGTGTAGCTTTCGTACTTCTTCGGGATGAATTACTAGAATCGAAATTGCTGCATCAAAGACACCGGCTGCCTAAGACTGTAATCGACATTAAAAGCTGCCCTTCTTGTGTGGCAGGTCAGTCAGCCAACCATAGTGAACCAGTGTTTTTCCACATCCTGCCCTGGCTGTCTGTGTTCAGTTGTGCTAACGTATCTTCTGACGTCAGTTAGCAAACCCTGATCACCTAAGGCCTGAAAACATTTTGTCCTTGTGGAAAGACAAAGAAAATGTCAGTTGCTGATGATTTCCTGTTTCTGGAAGAGGGGGAATGAGATGTGTTTGAGTAGAGCATAAGCTTTGTGAGTCAGACGTAGGCTGGATCTGGACCCTTCCACATGAGTTCAGCTCGACAAACTAAGCAGCTGCTAGGAACTGGGCATTGCTGACACAGCAAAGGGGAAGACGACTGAGCCCCTGCCCCGATGAAGCTTACACTCCACCGTGACTTGGCAGAAATTACACTGCCTTTGAGCAGTGATTACTCCACCGCAAGATTGTCTAATAGAATCTTAGTTTAGCAGTGAGGATAAATGACCAAAGACAGGCAAAGTGTCTGGCGCATGTTGCACTCTCTCTCAATTACAGTATCGTGTGGTATGCTTCATTAATTTGTATCCTCGGTCCTCTATTTTCGTAAACGCGAATAACTGAATTTATCGAGGTTGTAAAAAATACTCATTCCACTGGCAGATCTGTAATAGAATTAAATCTCAAGATCATCTCGTTTCTCAACTCAGGTTGATTTGTATCTTAAGTAATTATCTTCACGATATTTCAAGGTCTGTTGGGGAGGTGTGCAGCTAAATACTAATCTAGTTACAGGTAAATATGCTCAATATTTAATCAACGGATCTAGGCTATATTCCTCTTGGGATGTATTCTATTAATATTTTATTATATAAATTATAAAGTAGTTATAAAAGAGACTATTTTTTTTTTTGCTTTAGCATTTTGTTTTGTAAAATACAGATAGACACTTTTAGGTTATAAACACAGAAAATTTTAGAAGCCCAGAAAACAATAAAGAAGAAAATAATCTGTAATATTATTACTCAAATATAACCATTATTTACATATGTATTTATAAATATATGTTATATATTTAAAGTTAATTTACTTATTTATTTATTTGAGAGAGAGACAGAATACTGATTTTTTTTTTTTGAGAGAGTGTTTTTTTTTTTTTTTACTATAGGACTTATGCGCTCACCCGAAAAAAAGAGAGAGAACAGAGAGAGACAAGAGACAGAAAGTGAGAAATCACCCCCTGGGGGAATGGCCATGCTGCAATCCCTTCTCCTCCATTCTCCTTTTGGGATCTTGGGCACGCATGCACATGTGCCTGTCGCAAGTTTAAGCCACTGGGTCCAGGACTCAAACCATGGTTGACTACATGGGAGTCCAGCAACATAGCCATTATGCCAACTGCTGGTCCCCAGACATACTGGTTTTTGAGAGACTCTTGCCAGGAACCTCCTGCCCCAGTCTCCCAGCTGGCTCAGGTCACAGGGGCACACTGCCATTCCTGGCTCTTTTAGGCTGGGCTGAGCACTGAACCTGGGCCCCCATGTGGCCTTAGCCTCCAAGCCACAGTGTCTTAGCAGTGTGAGCCTCCATGGCTGAGCTCATCACTGTTAACATTTTTAATGCATTTCTTTTTTTTTTTTTCTTTTTTTGGAGAGGTTTTTGCTATAGGGCACGTGCGCTCACCAGAAAGACAGAGAGAGACAGAGAGACAGGAAGCAAGAAATCAACTCCCAGGAGGGATGACCACTCTGCAATCCCTTCTCTTCTTTTCTCCTCTTGGGATCTTGGGCATGCACACACATGTGCCCGGTGTGAGTTTAAGCCACCGGGTCCGGGATGCGAACCATGGTCGACTACGTGGGAGTCCAGCGACATAGCCATTACACTAACTGCTGGTCCTTTATAGCCTTTTTTCAGCACCTTCTATTGAATTTAAATTTTATAAGCAGTTTCGTATCTTGCTTTTAAAACCTAATCACATTATACTTATTTTCCATTGCTATTCAAATTAATCACAAATCTTTCGGTTCATATCAAGTGACCTGATGTAACTGTGTCAGGATATACTGTAATCTACTCTCTCCTTGGCACTGAAGCCGAGGTCTTTTAAACATGCACACCTGATTGTTACTTTTTTTTTTCTTGTTTTTTAAAGAATTACTTTATTTAATTTTATTTATCTATTTATTTTAATTTGACCAGAGAGGGACAGAGCGAGAGAGTGATAGAGAGGAATAACTGGATTAAGGAGTCTGACCTTTTAAGTTCTACCTGATTTCTTTCTAAAACGCAGTGGTGGGATCTCGTTTCTCACTGAACAGGTAACATTAGAGAGGAGACTCTGACAGGAGTCGCAGGCACGCTGCAGCACTGCTGTGCGCTGGGCCATGGTCTGAGTTTGAAGCTTGTGCTAGAAAGCAGAAGGCCGCTTAGCATCTTCGTCATCCTCGGTACCTTTGGTGGGAACAGGGCGTGGAGGGCTTTGCCAGGTCTTTGTCTAATATTAGAAGAAAGCATAGCGAAGATGTTCCCAAGACCATTTAGATCTTGCATTAGAGGAGGAAGTACTGTGATTTGTTTATTTAATAAACATTATGCATCTAGGATTTCTTCCTTCAGTGTTCCCTATATTGTGTCGCCTTGTGGATATCTTTGTCACTTGAGAAAGATCTAAATTACTCTCCTTAAATTAGCCTTGGGTTTAGCATGCAGGCATAGCAGTGACTTTCAAATTTGAATATTTTAATTACATCTGTAAATTGTACCCTCTGGTATTTATGGACCACAATTCATTTAAATATTTGAAATTGAAAGCCAAGTCCACCTGTGTTGATCAGGCATGGTAACATGGATGGTCTCGTAACACAGACTTCGCTGTTGTAATGGGTACAGCTTCCTGGCGTCTGATCAATGGCATGGCATGACCGGGTGTCTGAAGTCCTGCATGGAGAACCTGGGCACTCAGTATGGGGGCGCAGTTGTGAGCAGGGAGGACACCTAACTTGTCTCTTCGGTGTCATTTGCCAGTTCCCGTCCCTGGTGCGTGCCTGTGACTATTGTTTGTGATTCTGAAACAAGGTTCGACCACACCAGCAGCAGTGGAAGCCCCGCACAGGGAGACGAGTCACTCTGTGCCCGTGCTTTCAGGCAGAGTAGAGGTCGGGGACGGATGCGCGTGCTGCGCAGTCAGCCTGCCTGGGGTCAGATCCTGGCTTCAGCACGTACTAATGCTGGGCAGACACTCGGTGCTTTTATTTACTTAGTTATTTGTTTTGTTTTGTTTTGTTTGGGAGTTTTGCCATTGGACACGTATACTTGCCAGAGAGAGACAGAGAGAGGGACAGTGAGACATCACCCCTTGGGGAGGTGGACACACTGCAGTCCCTTCTCTTCCAGTCTCCTCTTGGGATATTATTTTTTTTAAAGAATAATATAATTTTATTTATTGTTCTGATTAATAATAATAATAATAATAATAATAATAATAATTTGAACAGAGAGACACAGAGACACAGAGAGAGAGAGAGAAAGTGAGAAAGCAAGCCACTCAGTCGAGGACTTGAACCACGATCAAATATGGGAATCCAGTGCCATAATTACCATGCCACCTGCCGCTAAGGACATGAATGTCCTGAAAAAAGGATAGAAAATCTGCATTACTTACCATTCTAATGTGAAGACGGGGATTCTAGATGTTTCCCAGCCCAGGCACCACAATATGACTCAGGAATGTGGGGCACAGGGCTGATCGGGCCACACTCGCAGTGAGACACAGGCTCTTGTCCCACACTCAGGAAGGATTAGAGCTGCGGACTCAGAGAGTAGGTATAGCAAAGCAGGGAATTCATGAACAAAGCAGAGAGTTTATTAAAGGAGAGGGAAGGAAAACCCGAGTTCCCGAGAATGGAGGGGTCCTGGAAAATGGGTTGCCCCTCTTGGGACTTTGGGCAAACATGCACATGTGCCCCGCTTGATTTTCAGCTGCCAGGTCTGAAATTCTAACTGCATTCAGCCATGTGGGAATCCAGCGTAATAACTACCACACCACCTGCTGATCCTGACACTCAGTTTTTATCTGTAAAGTGTTGAAGACAATAGAATTGGGGTTAAATACTTAGCATAGAGTTTGTCGTATGTACCCAATAGCTGTCACCATTATTATCATGTCTCATTCCACGCACACATTACCATATTGAAGGGTGCGATCCATGAGGCACACTGTGGTTTATCTCTATCACATGCACAAAATAGAACACAGGGCCTGAAACTTATCGGCAGGTGTTAACTAATAAATGGCATATAAAGTTAATAAATGACAATCCTATTTACCCCATGTGAGCTCTAAACTGACCATAACAGGAGGCAAAGGTGGAGCGGCAGCCATCAGCTCTGTTACTGACAGACGTGTGGGAGAGGACAGGGCTGCAAGAAAACAGCGAGCTTCCTGTTCCCATGCTGCGGATTAAGCCAGCCTCACTGCAGTCCTGGACGCTGCTGGCCAGGTTTGCAGATGCCCACCTGGTTACACACCTGCTGTTCCCCATACTCACCACAAGCAGGCACAGACTTAGCAGAGGGGAGAGGTGATGCTTGGCTCATGAATTCTGGGTCCTGTTCTAGACTGAACTGTGAGACGTGTTCTCTTTTTCTGGGAGAAGCAAGGATGTGGAGAAAGGCCAGGGGTCTTTCCTTGATGGCTAGCCTGATGGAAACTCGTGAAAGGGGAGAGACCATCACACCTGTCAGTTGGCTGAATGGATACACAAGTCTGGAATCTCAACGCTGTTGAACATGCTGGTTCATCTTGTCTAATGAAGCAGGCTGAGGTTGTTCCATTAAGACTAGTCCTGTTAAAACACCCAGAATAAATACAGGCCTGTAAGGAGCAAGCTGATTGGTGCTGTGCATGTTGTGAGTGACATGTTCCTTGTCCCTCTCCCTTCTCATCTCCCTCTTACTTGTTCTTCAAGTCTTAACGATGGTATCTCCTCTTCCGCCAATTTCCCCAACTGCCTTACTCCAGGTTAGAGGGCTCCTTCTCTTTGCCCCATGCATGTCCCCACAGCACTTACCCCACTTTTGTGCAGCCACTTGCTGGCCTGTCTCCTCTCCGTGTAACCATGCGCTCCCGAAGGACCACAGCCCACTGTTTCATCTCGGTGTGTGCTGAGACTGGGTCCTCCAGTTGGTTGGTTGACAATGAAAACACCCCTCCGTCCCTTGGCCCAGTCCGTTCACTTCTTGGCCTTTGATATTGGTTCAGAAGAAGGAGTTAGAGTTCTTTAGGAAGGAAGGTGCAAGGCCTCTGGTTGTAACCGTGCTGTCATCTGTTTCCAGGCTAGGTCCCACCCAGCTCAAAATCTTCACTTGCGAGTACTGCAATAAGGTCTTCAAGTTCAAGCACTCACTGCAGGCCCATCTGAGGATCCACACCAACGAGAAGCCGTACAAGTGCCCCCAGTGCAGCTACGCCAGCGCCATCAAGGCCAACCTCAACGTGCACCTGCGCAAGCACACCGGCGAGAAGTTCTCCTGCGACTACTGCTCCTTCACCTGCCTGAGCAAGGGCCACCTCAAGGTGCACATCGAGCGGGTGCACAAGAAGATCAAACAGCACTGCCGCTTCTGTAAGAAGAAGTACTCTGACGTCAAGAACCTCATCAAGCACATCCGAGACGCACACGACCCGCAGGACAAGAAGGTCAAGGAGGCGCTGGACGAGCTCTGCCTGATGACGAGGGAGGGCAAGCGGCAGCTGCTCTACGACTGCCACATCTGCGAGCGCAAGTTCAAGAATGAGCTGGACCGTGACCGCCACATGCTGGTCCACAGCGACAAGTGGCCCTTTGCCTGTGAGCTGTGCGGCCACGGGGCCACCAAGTACCAGGCGCTGGAGCTGCACGTCCGAAAGCACCCGTTCGTGTACGTCTGCGCCATGTGCTTCAAGAAGTTCGTCAGCTCCATCAGGCTGCGCTCCCACATCAGAGAGGCGCACGGGGCTGCCCAGGAGACGCTGGTCTTCACCAGCTCCATCAACCAGAGCTTCTGCCTCCTGGAGCCTGGCGGGGACATCCAGCAAGAAGCCCTGGGGGACCAGCTGCAGCTGGAAGAGGAGTTTGTGTTCCAGGGTGTGAATGCGCTCAAGGAGAAATCCCGCGCTGGGGACACTCAGCCCGAGGAGGATCAGAGGGAGCTGGAGGCCCCAGTGGAGATGCCGGTCCCGGCTGGACACCTAGCTGCCCCCCAGGCGGGAAGTGCCCTGCCACCCTGTGAGCTGGACACCACTGTGGTCTCATCGGACCTGCATCCACATGCAGTGGTTTCCCAGGATTTTTTGTTGAAAAATAATCCCTCCTCCACCGAGGCTTCCACTGCTCCCGAGACCTCGGACACCCATCACGGGGGCGACGTCAAAACTCAGGGTGAAGAAACCGCACTCCCTCTACCCAAGGCACAAGGTGCAGGGCCACACCAGGAGAGCCAGGGTGCTGAGAGCCCTCCAGGTGAAGGGAAGACAGAGGCTCCCCTTCCTGACAGGGAACCCGATCCTAGCAGATGTCTCAGGTCGAACCCAGCTAAGGCCTCAGACCTCCTTCCTCAGGGAGCTGGTGGTGGGGACCCTGCCGCATGCCAGCCTGACTCTTGCAAACCTGGCTTCGAGCACCGGCCTGGCATCACTGCCTTCATGAAGGTTCTGGACAGTTTGCAGAAGAAGCAAATGAACACTAGCTTGTGCGAGAGGATCCGGAAGGTTTACGGAGACCTGGAGTGTGAATACTGTGGTAAGGAAGCAGCACCGGGCGTGCAGCTGAGTGGGGCTCTCCTTCCCAGCAGCCCCTTCCATTCCCATCACGCTGTGGTCACCTCATGTTTGATTGGAGCTCATGTCTCTTGGCAAAGAACACCTTCCAAGTGAGCTGCCGTCCTCTACTGTAGCTAGGGACAGGCGCCCCGTGTTGTAGGTAGCACTCGCGGTCACATGGAGGCAGCCAGGGCGACCTTGCCGCCGACCGCTGGGCTTGGTCAGGTGTGCACACTGAGGTCGCCTCATGACCTCTACTAGAACTCGAACCAAGAAGAATCTTTCTTCTGGCACGTGACAAGTGCAAAGTCGAGCTTTGAGTTGTGGCCATGTCCTAGAGGAGCAGGGAGAGGAATATGAAGGTGGCTACAGCTCTTTGTAGGGAGGCCCCGAGACCCCCTCCTGCTTCTGCTGAGAGCTCTGGGGAGCTGGCAGGGCAGGAAGTGGGAAGGCCAGCTCTGCACCCCGGGGGCCTCAGCAGAACCGTGCGCACGGTGGTACTTGGCACCGTAACCGGTCCTCGGTAAGCATCGTGTCTCCTCTCCTGGTCCTGACACGAGGCGAGAACTGGCAGCACCCTTAACGCCTGCAGCCGCCCACCTTTGACAAGTCCTTTCCAGACAGAAATGGTGGAAAGTGTGAAGGGTGACCTGGACAAGCACAAAGAGGGAGATAAATGTAGGCATTAAAAAATGGTAGTTTTTAAAAAGTCAAATTCAGTATAAAAGAAACTTCCTTGTTCTCATGTGAAAATATTTTTTTAGGCAAACTTTTTTGGTACCAAGTGCATTTTGATATGCATGTCCGCACCCACACCCGGGAACACCTGTATTATTGCTCCCAGTGTCATTACTCTTCCATCACCAAAAACTGCCTTAAACGCCATGTAATTCAGAAACACAGTAACATCTTGCTGAAGTGTCCCACTGACGGCTGTGACTACTCGACTCCAGATAAATATAAGCTACAGGCACATCTTAAAGTGCACACAGTGCTGGTAAGTAGCAAGCCCGAGCGGCAGCCCTGACTCCCTGGGTGCTCATTGCTTTCTCAGATTCGTGCATCTGCCGGGTCCCCGCTGCAGGTCGTCAGTGTGCGAGCATCCAGCCCTGACACGTAGAGAAGGCCTTCTCTCTAAACAGTGCTCCCTTTCCTGAAGGCTTCACCCAGGTTGCTTTCACAGTGAGAGTCTCTAATCCATTCAAAGCAGAGATCGGATCGAGAAAATTGCTTTTTATGCAAATTTCTCAGCATCAGAGGAAGTCTACAGGAAAAAGACCTACAGAGTAGAAATAGAGCAAAGATTTCTTAAATGACATGTTAAAATATTATCAAGAGCAGGGATAATAATAATAGGTGCCTGGAAGGTTGTCAGGTGGTTAAATTAGGTAATGCCTGTGAAGTGTGGGGGCCAGTATTTGGTCATAGTGAGAGGTAGGAAATGTTGATGACCACCTTGGCCATAGGTAGTGTTACTTATTGTAAGCACTCTGTGGGAGACTGTGAAGCCATTTTTAAAAATGGATATGTTAATTCAAGGTACCGTTAATATTCATGGTGGTAAATATTTGTTTAATTCTTTGGAGAGAGATCTTGTAACACAATGAATGAATGTTTATTTTGCGAATTCTAATCTAGCTCAAGAGGCTGACACCTGACAGTGATCTGAGACGTCTTAAAGTTTAAAGGAGGCACACCTGGCCCAGGTGTGGTTTTCTTTTAATTGAAGCCTTTTTTATGTCACAGACAGCAAAATGAGGCTTCAGACATTTGATGAGCTGCCTCCGTTTTCTGGCATAAAAATGACTAACACCCTCTCAGTTTGTCACGAAGGGTGGAATCAGGTGCGCGGGTGCTGGGTGGGTAGGGTGTGTGCTGGGCGTAAGTGCCTGGGTCCAGACGCCAGCTCTTGCACTCTCACAAGCCCCCTGGCCTTGGGCAAATGACATCTTCTTTTTCATTTGAGCTTTTATTGATTTATTTTGATTTTTTTGAACTTCTATTTAATCACAGTGTACAAGATGGTTTTTCCCAGCATGAATACCATGTGTATTAGTCAAGTCAGAGACGTCAACGTATACGTTATCATCGACAGATAACATTTCATTTTTGTGTACTAGGTGGCTTGTTTGTTTGTTTTTCTCTGATCCTTTCTGAGACCTGGTAGCCTTCTGTATAAAATATAACTTAAAGAAGTAACTCCTCTATATACATATACACGCATACATACACACATGTACACAGTTTATATGTCTGCATGCACATGTGTGTGCGTATACGTATATGGAGCTCTTACGGTGGTTGGGAGGTGGGAGTACAGTGTTCTCGATCAGGAACCTGGCGCAGTGCTTGTCACAGAGCTGACTGCGTACTGGCCTCTGCCTGTCACCTGCTACTTCTGGGTACAGTTTCTCTCTCTGTCTCTCCCTGTTTGTCTGTCTCTCCCTCCCCGATTTTTTCCCCCCTTTCTCCAAGTAGGGCATGAAGGTGGTTTATAAATTCCCCATGGACTTGCTGTTAGGGTGGTGTTGCTTCCAGCACTCACCTAGGGCAGGAAAACTGAGTTGGCCGTTCACTGAGGTGGCTTTGCTAGAAACTCATCTGAAGTCAAGAGGGAGTGGAGCCACCGTGAGGATGGGTTCTTAGGAGAAGCCCTGGAGTGCAGCGGGTAAGGCCGGGAAGCAGGGTGCTGGGCTCAAACCTTGGCTCTCCCATCTTCCCCATGCTTGGCCTTGGGATGGGTTCTGTAACCACTTCGTGCCTCACTTCCCCGTTGTCAGGTGAGGATGAAGTGAGGGAATATTTGTAAATGTCTCAGTGCCCTGTGCTGCCCTCTTGGTAGTGGCTGGCCGTGAGTGTCAGCCACCCATTGTCACAGGGCTCATGGGCACTGAACTCATTTAGGGGACTGTGGTTGTGGTGGACTTGGTCCATGACATCAGTGCCTGGCATAGAATAGCCACTAGTGCAATTGACCATTATAATTATTATTACTTATTGCCATTTTGAAACTCACTGCTCTGTTTTAGAGGTTTTGAAATACAGGCCCCACAGTGGACCTGACTGAGGCAGTTATAATGGACCTTATGGGACTGCCTGCATTTTCCCACACTCCCATTTTGCTTGCCCGTCGTGTGTGTGAGAGGGCCCTGGTCCAGCCCAGTGACTTTTCTCAGCCTGGATACTGATGCTCAGCCTCTTGGCCACATCCCTAGGCCTCGTGGCCAGTGGGGGAGTGTTGAGAACATGAGTTAAGATCTTTGAATTTCAAATGCTTTCATTCTTCTTTAGTTTCTCTTTTCAACCCTCTGTGGACATGAATCTTCCTTCAGAGGCTCATCTCTTCAGTATTAACACTCAGAAGGCATCCGGGGGTGGGAGGCAGCTGGATCTCATGTAACCAGTAACACTGTTGGAGTTCTAGATCCAGAGGTTTGAAATGCATGCTGGCCACATGTGCTTGCATGCCCAAAATCTTTAGAGAAGTGAAACGGTCATCCCTCTGGGGGGATGCTTTCTCACCTTTCCTGTCTCTCTCTTCAGCAGGCACACACACCCTATAGCAAACAAAAAAATTAAAAAAGGCATCTGGGGAGTGTGAGTCAGGGCCAAAGGAGGTAACAGTTACTGGGTTTTTGCTTTACTTTTGTTTTCAGTTTTTGCCATAAAGCACATGTGCTCACTAGAGAGAGACAGAGACAGAGAGAAGGGGAAGTGAAAAGTCACCTTCCCAGGAGGGATTGCCATGTCATTCTCCTCTCGGGATTTTGAGCACGCATGCACATTCCTCCAGCATGATTTTCAAGCTGCTGAGCCCAGGGCCTGAACTATGGAGTCGGCTATGTGGGAATCCAGTGCCTTAACCTCCATGCCGCCTGCTGGCCCTAGCAGTTACTGGTTTTATCCTTTGGGTCAGGCTCTTGTCCTGTTTTACGTAGGTCTCACATCACCTCTAGGAACCAGGAATTATTTCCTCCACTTGATAGGTTAGGATCCTGGTGCCGCCAGGTTGTTTGGTAATTTGCCACACAGCTGGTCACCCTGTCAGTAAGAGACAAAATTCAAGCCATACTCATCACTGCTTGCACTGCCGTCTTGGTTGTGGCTGGCTATTAATGTCAGCTGCACCGTTCCCGGTGGCCTCTAGGGCACTGTAATCACTTGAAGGAACGCCGTGGCGGTGGACTTTGTCATAAAGGCAGTGACTGTGTTGGGTCAGGCTTTACGCTGCAATAATAGCGTGTCTCTGCAGGTTACTGCAAGAGAAGGGCAGGGTGCCGAGGAAAGGCGCGTGACTCGGCGACGTGAAGAAGGATGTTTCCCTGTTCCCTGCTTCTTTAGCACTCCGGTTTTCGTAGACGCGGTGAACGTGTAATTTCAGCCCTTTCCCTTGCTGGTATTTGCAGTTCCTTGGTTGGGACGCATTTAGAGGTGAACGCACTGCCGCTGCTTCTGAAGCGGCTGACCAGGCTGCAGCCCTAGTTCCCTGCATGCCAGGCGCTGGGATCTCACGGGGGAGTAAGGCCTGGTCCCTGCCTCACAGTGCTCTGTTTTACCAGGGAGAAAACAATGGATGGTAATGCAGTGTGGCCACGTGGTGGGGATGTGGTGGTGAGCAGGGCCAATACGATCCTCTCCCTGACGGCGGAGCCACCAGCCTGAGGCCAGCGGTTCTTTGACTTGGGTAGAAGAGGGCAAGGAGGGAATTCCTAGCAGAGTGGGCAGCAGAAACCAGGGGGAAGCCGTTCGCATTTTCCACGAGGCTCGTGGACTTGCCCGGGATGAAGATGGCATGACTTAAAAGACAGGCTCTCGTATTTTGTATTTTGAGTTTAGACAAAACTTGTCTTTTGAGCTTGTAAATTATTCCAGTCATGAAGCCAGGGGTGCCAAGGGACTGTTGACACAGTCAAAAAGCCTTCTGCTTCTTCCGCGTGCAGACTCTTGATCTGAAAGTGCTATCACCTGGTGTTTTAAATGAATTCAGTACCTGCAGTAAGGCTAAGGTAGATTTTTTTTTTTTTTTTTGGAGGCTAAGGTAGGGTTTTTTTTTTTTTTTTGGTAAAAACTTTATTGAAATGTAATTCACATACCATACAATTCGCTCATTTGAAGTGTGAAATTCAATGGATTTTAGCACATTCACAGAGCTGTGCACGGTTAATTTTAGAACTTTTTCATCAGCCCATAAAGGAGCCCCCATTAGCTATTCTGCCTTCGCTCCAGGCCCCTCCTGAGCCCTAGGACACCACTGACACACTCTCTGGCTATGGATTGACCTGCTCTGGGCATTTCCTATACAGAGAATCGCAGGGTAGGCACAGGCTTCTGTGAAGCCTCTCCCTGCTGCCGCCACTCCTTTTGTAGCTGAGTGTTCCATGTTGTGCGTATACTGCATTCCGTGGATCTGCACGTCAGGGATGGAAATCCCAGGGTGCATTTTTGGTGCTAATTTTCACTAAGACAGAACTGACAACCACAGATTGTTTTAAATTCACAGGATTTGCTCGAACTCTCTGAAATCAGCTAATAAGAGCATGCAGGCAAACTCCAGGGAGTTTATGCATTGACCTTTCTTTTTTCTTTCCTTTCTTTCTTTCTTTCTTTCTTTCTTTCTTTCTTTCTTTCTTTCTTTCTTTCTTTCTTTCTTTCTTTCTTTCTTTCTTTCTTTCTAAGAGGCTTTAGCACATGAACTCACCAGAGAGAGACAGACGGTGAGAAGGAAAGTGAGAAATCACCCACTCCTGGGGGGAGGAAGGGAATGGTCATGCCACAATCCCTTCTCCTCCATTCTCTCAGGATCTTGAGCATGCACACACATGTGCCTGGCATGAGTTTCATGTCACCAGGTCCAAGTCCAGGACTTGAACCACGGTTGACCATGTGGGAGTCCAGCTTTGCAACCATTCTGCCATCTGCTGGCCCTCAAGTGTTAAGTCCGGGTTTTCAAAAATTATGACACATCTAAGAAAACTGCCTGTAGTTTGCAGTGCCATCCTGTCTGCACGTGACCGTGCCCTCCTTCCTGTCCCCAGTCCCCAGTAGCATCAGCCCTGCTGTGCAGTGGATGCCATCAGGGACTCCGGGCACAGGGTGTGCTCAGGCACAGGGTGGGCTTGGCTTGGGCTCTGTGGCCTGTGCAGATGCTTGCCCTCTCGGAAGTGGAGTGAATAACACCGCAGGGTTCTCAGGGTGTGGCGGACTCCGGCAGGAAGTGAATGTGCTTTGAGATGTACAAGTGCCTCACCTGTCCTTGTGGCTGAGCTGAGGGCGCTGGTCCTGGCAGTGTCCGACTGGATCAGCAGGGGGTGGTGCCGACTGGGAAAGCACAGGACTGAGGCTTCTGGGTGATCCCTACACAGTGTGGGGCTCGCTTCCTTGCCTGTGACCCTGGAGAGGGCACCAGAGCTGTCGAAGTCTGCCTGGCTTCCGTATTTGTTTCAGCATTTACTCCCGTCAGACTCCCGAGCAGAGCAGCAGTTAAGGACATTTGAAATAGCCATCTCCGTACACCCTCCTTGCCACGCCCAGACCCATATCCTGGCCCATTCCACTTACATTAGGACTCCCAGACAAATTGGCTAAGTGCCTGTTTGTGCAGCTCTTACACCATTCCTTAGCTGAGGCTGTAGCTAAGGATTGGAAGGCGTGTATGTATTTAATCCAGGCTCCTTCCCCTGCCACTTCTGTCCTGTTAATAACCAGGTGTCAGCATATTGGCATCAAGAAATGAGGAGACCTCGTCAGGGGAGCAAGCCAGCCACGCTGTGGAAACATACCACGCCCAGGACTGCGCAGACTGGGAAGAAGAAATCTGAGCAAACGTGATTTTAGGAGACTGAGGGACTTGGTGCTGACATGCTCAAGTTTAGGCCCCTCCTCTACCTCTGTGACTTTCGGCGAATTGCTTAGCCCTCATGAGCCTCCGTTTTCTCATCTCTAAAATGGAGATGAAGTAGTTCCCACTACCTCCCAGGGTTGTGAAGATCAAATTAGAAAATGTGTACAGAACACCTGGGGCAGCATTCTTTCAAGAAAAAAATCGACAGGTTGTGATCCAGTAGGAGGTTGAGAAGTCACTTTACTGCGCCGCAAGAAACCTGTCTAAAAAGTGAAATAAAATAGAAAGGGCCGGCTCTGATCACCCACTGTGAGGGTCAGCACTATTTCCTGAGTGCTCTGTCCCGGGGATGGGGGTTGCCATGTCAGAGCGTGTGCGTGGATGTGCTGACGAGGCAGGCTGGGAGCCTCCTGCGCTCGTGAAGTCAGTCCGTAAGAAACTGACCAGAGTCACGGAGTCCATGTCCTCCTGAGTCGGAACCAGGTTGGGGTGGTGGTTACAGACACGCGTCCTGGGCTCCCACCTCCACCGCCATGGGGTGGGACCTGGGAAACCTGCTAGTTAAGGCACGGGGTGTGCAGCAGCAGGAAGTGTGGAGCATGCGCGGGTGTTTATGAGGAGCCCGCTTTCCCCTTTATCTCTGGCCTAAGTTCCTTCTCAGACCTCAGAGCTACCTGCCTGGGCTGCGGTAACAGTTCCAGCCCAAGGTGGGAGTGGCACATGGGCGCTCTGCATTGTATTCAGACTCTGTACTTAACAGTGGGTTGCCCTTCTACCCAACTCTCAGTTCCTCCCTTCAGTGGAGATAAATCTCTGCCTCCATTGTTACCATGGGATTTAGTGAGATCATGTTCCTGAAGGAAACAGCACAGTCCCAGCTTCAAGCGCATACAGAGGCCAGTCTGTCATAGCTGATCCTTCTCTCCCTCTCCTCACCCTCTCCCCCCCTGCTCGTCTTCCTCCTCCTTCTCATCCTCCTTCTCTTCTTTCTCCTCTTCCTCTTTCTTCTTCTTAGGAGCACTAGGGATGGCGGAAGTAGAGGTGGAGGTGCCTCTGCATCCAGCTTGTGATGCTCTCAGCACATTTTTATAGTATTTGGTCTCTGTCTCGGAGGACTGTATAGTGTGTGTTGTCTCTAAAGGTACACATATTAAAACAATTTCCTATGCACTTGCTGGAGATGAGCCAGAATAATACATTGCCAAGCTAGCACAGAGCAAGTAAAGTTGGCTACCTCCAGTTCCTTTTAGGAAATAAATGGGTTTGTTGAGATAATGCATTATTTTATTTTATTTTATTTAAGTAGAGGGAAATGTTATGTAGTTGGATTGATTGAACATGATTCTTTTTCTTTTCAAGAGATACGAATATGCTCTTTTTTCACTTGGTCACAAAGTAAGTTTGTTTCCGTGTTGCCCTGTTTAGGCTCTTTATCCACCGGGTACAGACCTCAGGCCACCAGGGCTTCTTGCGTGTAAAATAGCTTGAGTTTAGCAAGAACCGAGATGCTGAGTTGAAGGGTCGTGTCATGGCAAAACAGAACTGTTTTCAGTGGGAGGCAAAGCTCCTGAGCTGCAGTCCCAAATGGAGCACGTTTCTGGCTCTCTTAACTTGTTCCGATCAGTCACCGTTTAAGCATCCCCTCTGCTTCGCTGCACTTCTGGCACACATACTCACTGAGTATTGGGCTCTGTGTGCTGGCACATCATCTTCTTTGTTGTAAGTTTTTAATTATTTTATTCATGACAGAGAGTATACATGTACGTGTGTGCACATGAGCGAGAAATAGAGGCACCCTCAGCAGGGTCTTGTCATGCCATGACCCCCTTCTCGTACCCTAGCTAGGCAGGATGCTGGGCACGTGTGCAGCATGTTTTCAGGTCCGCTCAGATCCACCCACAGAGAGCCATGTGGCCTCCAGCATTGCAGTTCAGTGTGCTACTCTCTGAGCCACCGAGGCTGGTCCACATCTCTCTCGATGAGCTCGTGACCCCTCTAGGGTCCCCCACCATTGTCTTCAGTGGAGTGCCCTGTTCCTGCCAGGAACCCTGTAAAATTGGAGGAATGAATGAACGAACCTATAGAAAAAAGTACGTCCTGTTGCTGTGGCCTTCGTTCCTGAGAAATTCTTCAGTGTGGAATCCTCTACCTTCAATTTTTTACCTTCATGTCAGATATTTTATAGGTACACTTACTTATGAAAAGGTTGTAAACCCTCGATAGTCTCCACCTTGTGCTAGTTTTAGAACTAAAGAACTATCAGGTGCCTTTGGGGGCCATGGCATCTTCCATGGAGGCATAGACCAGGTGAGGTTGGCCCAGAGTGGAAAGCTAGGCTCTGGGCTTCAGGCCTGTGGCTGGTCCTGCACCCATCCCTGGCCGTGGCCTTATACTGGCACCCTTCTTCCAGAGGTCCTGATTGCTTTGAAGACATTTGCCTCCAAGTGCACTGAAGGGTTGGGCTCTTACCATCATTACGGCGGCATGCATCTTTCACACTCTGCCTCTGCTGGGAACTTTTTTAACCACTGCTCTTTTTAAGTTTGCTGTGTCAATTTGGGTTTTCATCTCCACGACGGAACTGAGGTTTTGAAAAAGAAGTAAATGAGTCCTAAGAGTCTACCTTTTTCCCGGTACCCTTTACCACTGTCTGTGTCCTTCTGACAATCTTCAAAGGCATCAAGAAATAACAGGCCCTGATAAGCTCTAAGATAAATTGCTTTCAGACTATCAGAGATTAAAAGAAAAAGAAATCAAATAGCAAGGGCTCTTGGAGATCACTGTAAACTCCTTCAAAGCTCTCTGAATGCCTCCATCAACGCTGATGATGAGGGCTCTGAAGGACAACAGGGGGTGGAGGAGGGCATCTTTTGGAAATGGCACTGGGAGTGCGGGGTCAAGGGCAGGGGCCCAGTGACAGGAGCTTGAGCTTATGGTCTAGCTTGGGGGAGGCCTATGGCACCGGCTGACCAAGAACTCAGGACAGTTTCTTGAGGATTGATGCTATGCCCCTACTCCAGCTCTCTAGGCTTTCCAGAGCCAGATGGAGGCTATATATTATGCGCTTGGAAGGATGCACTATGTGCTTAGCTTTGCTGAGGCTGCTGGTGGTGATGGTGGGACAGTGGTGGTTGTGATGATGATGGTGACAGCAGTGGTTATGGTGATGGTTATTGTGATGATGGTTGTGATGGTAGGAATGATGATGATAGTGATAACAGTGATGGTGGTCATTATGGAAGTGGTGCTGGTGATGATGGTGATGGTGGGATGGTGGTGGTTGTGATGATGATGGTGACAGCGGTGGTGGTGGTGGTTATTGTGATGATGGTTGTGATGGTAGAAATGATGATGGTAGTGATAACAACTGTGGTGGTGATGATGGTCGTGGTGTTGGTGATGTGGTAATGGTGGCATAGTGGTTGTTGTGGTGTTGATAACAACGGTGGTGGTGATGATGGTCATGGTGTTGGTGATGTGGTAATGGTGGGATAGTGGTGGTTGTGATGATGATGATAGCAGTGGTGGTGGTGATGATTATTGTGATGGTGGTTGTGATGGTAGGAATGATGATAGTGATAATGGTGGTGGTGATGGTGATAATGGTGATGGTGTGATGGTGGTGGTTGTAATGATGATGGTGGTAGCGATGATAGTGTGATGGTTATTGGGGTGGTGATGATGATGGTGGTAGTTGTGATGGTGGTAATGGTGGTTGTGACTTTTCTGCAGAGCTCAGATTTAAATAAAACCTTGAATTGATTATGTTCTCTTTTTATTAAGGACAAAAGGAGTTATTCTTGTCCTGTATGTGAAAAGTCTTTTTCAGAAGATCGATTGATAAAGACACATATCAAGACCAACCATCCCGGTAAGATGAAACATTTTAGAGTGAAAGCTTAATCTTAAAATGCTATTGTTTGTTTTAAAATAAAGAATTATTCATTGACTGCACTACATGGAAATAAAGATGAATGATGATATATATATATATATATGTGTGTGTGTGTGTGTGTGTGTGTGTATACACACACCCCTATGTTTGACCCTCTGCCCTTTTCCACCCTCTTCTCACACTGTCTCTGGTGTCTACAGTTGTCTTCCATTCCTTTCCTTCCACATTTTATTGATCATGCAATTTCTTAAATAATCTAACTACTTATTTATTTATTTATTTATTTATTTATTTATCTAACTACTTTTAGTAGCAAGTTCAGCTGGTAATTTCAAGAAAAGCAGTTTTGAATTGGTAAGGAAATTTTCTTAAAACTTAAAGCCTGGAAACAGGTTAGTATCCTGTTCAAATAGTAGGTATATGAAACTATTGACAGCTGAAGACAGGACAAAAACTCTTAAACTGGACAACAAAGTCTAGAAAAAAAGCAGCAATATTTTAGTCAAAGGTCACAGAATGCTAGTTCACTAGTTCAGTCTCATGTACTTAATCTATCTTCTGTTGTGGTTCAGTCTTCCTGATTGAATTCTGGGATATAATATTCAACTCCGGACTTGTCCCTATGATTAAGTGGGTCATTTTCTTAGTTTTTGAACTCTTAGTTCTGTGTGACTACATTTAATTTTCCTGACATAGCACTCCCTTGAGAATTTCTTGGAGATCTGGTCTGGTGCTGGTAAATTCTTTCAGGTTTTGTTTATCTGAGAATGTTGTCTTTTCTTCCCATATGAAGGACAGTCTTGCCGGGTACAGTATTCTTAGTTGTAATTGCTTTTCCCTTAACAGTTTGAATATATTTTCCCATTCTTTCCTCACTCGCATCGTTTCCGATGAGAGGTCTGCTGTTAGCATGATGTGATATCCTTTGTAGGTAACTTGCCGTTTCTTTCTTGCCAATCTTAGTATGTTGTCTTTGTCTGTGGTTTTGGTCATTCTGGCTATAATGTGTCTTGGAGAAGATCTTCTTGGGTTGATTCTATTTGGGGTTCTTTGTATTTCCTGGGATTGGATCTTTGAGTGCCTCTCTAGGTTTGGAAAATTTTCTTGCAGGATTTTATGGAATAGTTTATCAATGCCCTTATGAATCTCTTCGCCTTCTGGGATGCCAATTATCTGGATGTTTGGACATTTGATGGTATCTAGTATTTCTCGTATATTATTCTCAAATTTTTGGGCAACTTTCTCAGTCTTCATGGTGGACTTTTCTAGGCCAGCAATTTCCTCTTTTATGTCTGAGATTCTATTTTCTGTATGATCTAATCTGCTTTTAATACTTTCAAGAGAGATTTTGACTTCCTGTATTATAGTCTTTATCTCTAACAATTCTATTTGACTCTTTTGTACAGAGTATAATTCCTCTTTCAGATCTTGCAAGAATTTCCTCTCCTCCTGGCACTCGTCAGCTCCTTTTTCCTTTCTCTTCTGCAGTTCATTGTCTCTCTTCTATTCCATCTCTGTTAGCTTCACCATTATGAATGTTCTAAATTCTTTATCAGACATATCTATGATTTCCATTGAGCTGTCTGTGGATGAAGAGGAGCCATTCTTTTCCCTTGGGGGAGAGGTATTTTCTTGCTTTCCCATATTTCTTGTGGTCCTGCGGTGATTTCTAGTCATCTGATGGAAAAGTGTGCTCGTTCCTAAACTTGAAGTTCAATCTGAGCGTCCAGGAGTGTGCAGAAAAGGAAAGAGAGAGAGAGAGAGAGAAACAACAGCAACAAAAACAACCAAGAAACAGAAAAAGACAAGAAAAAAATAAAAAATATATAAAGTTATAATTTTTTTATAAAAGCAAAAATTAGAAAACCATGCCACATGGAATCGTTAGTTCTCAGTAGCCATGAAGGGGTCTTCTGAGGCCTGCGCCCTTGCCTCTCCTGTGTTGGGAGGGGAAGAAGGGATTATTAACAAGATAAAGGGAAAGGAGGGGCTGAGAGCCCAGAAACTGTTTAACTTTAAAAAATTTTAAAAAGGAAAAATTACAAAAAAATGAGAAGACGAAGACAGAGACAGAGGTAGAGAGAGACAAAGACAGATACAGAGATAGGAGGCTGGAAAGTCTTCTTCCTACCATGTGAGTTTGAGGGCTGGAGGCTGAATTATCAGTAGAAAAATCTTCATTTCTCCTACTCTCCTGAAATCACTAGTTCTCAGTAGCCATGAAGGGGTCTTCTCAATCTTTATTTTTAAAGAGAATTATTTTATTTAATACTATTATTTTTAAAAAAAATTTACTATAGAGCACATGAGCTCACTAGAGAGGGACAGAGAGCAAGAGAGAGAGAGAATAAGTAAGTTGCCAGGTCCAAGACTTAAACCATAGTTAGCCATTTGGGAGTCCAGCACCTTAACCACCACTTCACCTACTGGCCCAATAGGCATCTTTATTTAAAACTGGGCAGTTTATATAATTACTTACTTTACTCCTTTATTGGCCTTCAGATCTGTCTTCCCCTGCCCACTGTGGTCTCGGAGACACTACTTCCCTGCCCCTCGCCATTCCGTGTGAACTTGAAACGCCTGTGGGTAGATCACATGTCCTGCGTGAGGAGGCTTCTCTGGCTTTTCTGACTTGGGACCCATCCTTTGGCCCCTCCTAACATCGCGTGGTGCACAGACCGCTTGTACTCCTGACACTGTTGCCGCCCTGCTTCCCCCATGGGCTCCTTGAGGCAGGGCTGTCCCAGACCCCCGTTCCGCCTCAGGCAGGACCTGTGAGGACAGGCACTGTGTCACGTGATGCAAATGAGGAGCCGATAAGCTGTGTCTCTCTTTGACCATGTCCATTTTCTTTTCATTATTTTGTTTCTGCTCTTGGTATTATGCCACAATTAGAAATAATTAGAAATGGAGGAAGATGAAGAAATAACAGAAGACCACTAACACTCATGTTTTATCTGGGAGCAGACAGAGCCTCGAGGCCTTTGTGTGGGAACGTATGAGTGATGTGATTCTCTGAGTGAGTGGTCCTTTCCCACCCGTGTGAACCATGCTAAGTGACGTGGGATCCAGTGTGACCTGAAGATGTTAATTTCAAGTGGCTGGTTTTGTTCTTGAGCAGATGCAAGGCATTCTCTTGTCATTATTTTAAACTTTTATTATGAAAAATCTCAGCAATTTGCAGGAGTGCACAGACTATTATAAGGAATCCTCGTGTTTCTCTAACTTAACCTTCACAGTCATTTGCATTTTGCCAAATTTGTTTCATGTACCTACCTCACAAAATATTTCTTCTAGAATATTTTAAAGTATAGCCTAGCCGTCATGTATAGTAATTCCATCATAAGAATCTTGAGATCGCATCTCCAGCTAATAATGATTTTTTTGTTGCATCTCTAGCTAATAATTATCTTTTTAAATATAACTTCTGTGTCACCAATGAAATAAACAGGATTACTAGAAACTCCCTAGGACTGACTGCCTAGTTTTAGACCATTTACGATTTCCCCAGTTTACCCATGATATATTTACATAATATGTATTTTTCTTTTTGGTTTGTTTGAATTGGGTCACAAGCACTTGCACTTAGTGTTCGCATTGTTTCCATTTCTTGTATTCTATAGGACCCCTTTCTTGCTTTTTCCATGGTATTAATTTTGGGGAGAAACTGGGTTGCTTTTCTTTTTTTTTATCTTGCTTTATTTCAAGTTCTTATATACATTCAATCATGTCATTTAGTTTGCAAAGTGAATATTCCAACATGTTTACATTTCTCCCCAGTCCAGTTGATAATACTATAAAGATATCTTCAACAGACAACATCCTGTTTTTTTGTCCCATTAATGCTTTGCCTCTCCATTTTTCTCGTTAATGTTCTTCCTCAGACTCTATGCCTTCACCCACACTTTTCTTGTAGAGTGTTTCTGGTTCTGCCTCTGACGTTTGCCTCATGACATTGTTTCTCCAATCTTTCTATTTTGTGTTAATAGGTAGTTAGCTCCAAGGCTGGATGAGATTCTGGTTTAACTTCTCAGGCCAGAATCCTGTCTCATGAAACCACAAGGCACCTTGATTTGCCCTCGGTGGTGCAGGTGCTGTTGTGAGCTGTGTCCAGGCCCACCTGGAACCGAGGCCCTCGGCTCCCTCTCACTGCCATCTTGCCTTTCTTCTAGAGGTCCCCATGAGCACCATTTCCGAGGCCCTCGGGAGGAGGGTTCAGTTGAAAGGGCTCATTGGGAAGCGAGCCATGAAGTGCCCGTATTGTGATTTCTACTTCATGAAGAATGGTTCCGACCTTCAGCGTCATATCTGGGCTCACGAAGGTGAGTGTTCATCTTTCCGAATGGAAGCACTGTTTCCTGTTGTGCTTGTGGGCTTCATTGTGGGAGCACGCTTCATGCCCAACGAAGTGAGGATTTCTCTAGCACACTGAGTGGCGTGTCAGCCAACTGGCATCATTACATAATCAGGCACAATTGCCAGGAGTAGAGGTGTGCACTTCCTTGTAGCTCTGGCTGCAGCTGTAGTGAGATATGTGACATGACTCCCCACTGGACAGCACGTGCCTGAGAACAGGCACTAGTGTCTCACTCCTGCCATGCCTCTGGCAGTGCCCACCATGGTGCACTGCACATGGTCAGCGTGGAAGAACTGTTGGTGTGTTGAACAACTGAGGGTGAACAGGCAGCAAGCGTCATGCCAGCTGTGTGGAATGCTACTGTTCATGTAGTGGAGAGGGACTTGGACATGGAAGAGTGGAGCAGAGGGGATGGTGGAGAGGAGTTCAGACTATGCTTTGGGTGCCTGCCTACGAAGGGACGTGGCAGGGGCCACCGTCTGGGGCTTTGGGAAGTTGGAAGTCGAGACAGTGTTAGAGATAGCAGGCCACCAGCTCTGGTTTTTCCCCTGGGTGAGGATGTGGCCCTCCTGGGAAGAGGGTAAGAGCCTAGGGCAGGGAGAGCCTTTCTAGACACCTGCATTAGGTCCCTTCACTAGTCAGGAACCCAGAATGCTGTGGGTAGGAAAACAGGCCTGTTAGGGATGGAAGTTCACGTGAGCATTTCCTACATTATGAGACTAGGACGACCTGGATATAGCCAGGGAAGGAGTGATTGGTGTGGAGAGACCAGCAGTTCAGTGAAGAGCACAGTAGGATAGACTGGAGAAGGCAGGAGGAATAGGGGTCAGCTCCCAAAGTCGGAATCTGCTCTGTGCACTGGCATTTATTGAGTGCTCAGTGGCTGACAGGCAGCGAGCCCACGTTACCTGATTTAGTTAGCACTCTCGACAGCCTGAGAGGTGGGCGCTGTTACCATCTCCACTTTACCGATGAGGAAAATGAGGTCAGAGAGCCTAAGCAATTTTCCCAAGGCCACACAGCTAACATGCATATGAAGATGGCATCACTGAGCCACATTCTCCTGTCGTACGGTGTATGCAGGTTCCTCGGAGGTGGTGGTCATTCCAAACCACGTGTAGTGTTGGTGGTATTAGAGTGTTTGGTGGGGGCAGTGTGTGATACAGAGATGCTGCTGGACCCCAGCTGTTACTGCAGTTGTCCTGCTCTCACAGGGTGTGCTTTAAATGACCAGCCCAGAGGAGGGAATGTGTTGTCCAGGAGGTTCCATGAAAGGTCCCTGGTTCCTTCACTCTGCAGATCTAGATGCCAGCCCTCAGGCAGACAGCTTATCGGTGCTGTGGTGAGGTCCTCAGTTTGCTCTCCGAAACCCCGACCAGTGCGGGGCTTTGCCTGGGCCCTCAGACGTCCTGGCCGGTGCAGCTCAGCCCTGTGTCCCCGGGTGTGTCCCATAGCCTCTACAGCAGTCAGAAGTCATGCAGGTCGAGTACGCCTTATCCGAAATGCTTGCTCCAGAGTGATTTAGATTTGGGATTTCTTTGGATTTTGATAATACATAATGAGATCTCTTGGGAAAGGGACCCAAGTCTAGACACCAAGTTTATTTATGTTTCATTTACATTTTATACACATAGCCCAAAGGTAATTCTATACAGTATTTTTTGTATTGCAGTATTTTCAAGGTAACCTGACACATGAGATCAGCAATGGAGTTTTCCATTGCAGTGTCCTAGCTACACTCAAATATTTTGGATAGGAAGCATTTTGGATTTTGGGTTTTGGATTAAGGATCCAGCCTGTATAATAATGAATGGGCGAAAATGCTGGGTCCACTAAAGTTTGTCTGTTCTACCCTCCTGCCCGCCCCTAGCGCATTGTGGCATGTTGTACTGCTTGCTCACTTGTCTCCATCTCTGGAGAGGGACCAGCTCTTCACACTCTGAAGATGAACCTCAGAACTTTGTGTGAAGTCGGCCCTCAGTAGACACTTGTTGAAGGAAGGAGTTGTAGATTGCTAAGCGACTAGTGCTGTAAAGCTCAATGTATTCTGTGAAGTAAATATGTTTCCACATTTCCGGCCTGGAGGCCTGATCCTGTCGGTTATGCCAAGGCCCCTGGTGCCTTCCATTTTGTTCCTTGTACCTCGGTGCAGTCATGACCATGCTCAGTGAGGTGCTCAGGGTCTCTGTCCTCAAGGAGCTCTCGGATCTGGGAGAGCGCAGGTGTGAACAGTCTACTGCAATGTGCTGGGTCGTCCCAGCTCGTAGAGTTACAGGTGTGAGAACATCAGTAGGGAGTAGGGAGATCCACTTGGGAGGTTGGAGGGTGCAGGATGGAGGTACCTGGCAGACTCAGGAGTAAAGGGCATCCCAGTCGGAAGGAACAGCCCAGGGAAGGGCCTGGCGGGGAAGGTGTGTGGCTGTTAGGGACAAGCATGGCCACTGCTTTATCCAACACAGACATGTCCTCTGTCCCTCCCTGCCTTCCTTCAGCTTCTCTCACACACACAGATATGTAAATATATATACAGATACATGGAGATTTATATGTTTTTCCCGTTAGGTGTGAAACCCTTCAAATGTTCTCTGTGTGAATATGCAACTCGTAGCAAGAGTAACCTCAAGGCCCATATGAATCGTCACAGCACTGAGAAAACCCACCTCTGTGACATGTGTGGCAAGAAATTCAAATCAAAAGGGACGTTGAAAAGTCACAAGCTCCTTCACACAGCAGACGGTGAGTAAATGCAGCGACGCGAGCTTCCCTTCCTTCCAGCTGTGCGCCGTCGGGCTGGCACCAAGTGCAGTAGGGCGTCACTGCTGCAGAGCCAGGAAAGAGCATGTGCCGTTCACACGGGCTACTGAGAGCAGAGGCCTGGCCTGTGTCCTCACTGCCCTGGCCGGGTGTGCAGTGGCACCATCTGCCAGCAGGGGCTGGACTAGCATGCGTGTGCCTGCATGGAGGGACGTGGAGGAGGAAGCTGCTTCAGGCAGTGAGGTATCTTCAGGGAGCCCTAATCCTTGGTTCTGGATGTTTCTAGATGCTTCAGCTTTCCCTTCCTGCCTGCAGCCCCAGCATCTTTTTTTTTTATAAGACTTTTTTTTTTTTGCTATAGGGTGTGTGCGCTTGCTGGAAAGACAGAGAGAGACAGAGAGACAGAAAACAAGAAATCATCCCCCAGGGGGGATGACCACGCCGCAATCCCTTCTTCTCCGGTCTCCTCTCGGGATCTTGGGCACGCATGCACACGCACCCGGCATGAGTTTAAGCCACTGGGTCTGGGACTCGAACTGTTATCGACTACATGGGAGTCCAGCGACATAGCCATTACGCTAACTGCTGGTCCTGAAGCCCCAGAATCTTGTGGGGCAGCCTTGATCACACCTGGCCTGATCAAGTGGATGCTCAAGTGGACAAGAGCATCAAGTAGGTGTTCTTCTCATCAGCACTCCCCAGGGTTCTGTATTTGGTCTGCAGTAGGGCTCAGTCTAAAATACAAGCAATATTTGAGAAGATTTGAACCTGACAGATGTATTTAAGTGGATTTCTAATTCCATTCATTCACCAGGAAATATTGATTGAGTTCTTATTCATGTCAACCATGAATATAGGTTCTAGAGATACCTGGTCAGTAGGACCAGTTCTGCCTCGAAGGAGTTCGTAGTCTGGAAGGGAGGACAGAAGAGCAGGCATATCAAGGTATGTGCTGTGATGGAAGGGACTCAGAGCCCTGGGGAGGAGGGTGAGAGTGCAGGTGGGGGAGAGCACAGTAGCTGATGGGCATGGCAGCTAGGAAACTCCCCTGGCACGGGCTTGCATAGAGAGAAAGACTTGTTCTGGGAAGACATGCAGCTACATCATAGGGGACTTTACAAAATTTTGATTTTACATGCAACACTGCTTGTGTGAGGTACTTGTGAATACTCCATGTAATAACATTAATAAACTTTATTTATTCAAAAAAACCCAAAAAAACCTCTTGATTTATAAATGTTATTTGTGCACAATTATATATAAAAATTGGAGCTCACTATAAAAATTGAAGTTATTTCAATCATTGCTTTTAATTTCAGAACTTAGAGGATTTAGCTAAGTCCTGCCTTTATTTTAAGAATATTCTGTAACTTAGTCCCTTGTGTATGTGCACTAGTCACATCCCCAGC